ATTTAGTAACTTTTTAAAATAATCTCACAATCTTTTCTTTTTGTTTTTTTGTTTGTTTGTTTGTTTTTGGTTTTTGTTTTGTTTTTTAGAGTTGAAGGTCTCATTGTTGCCCAGGCAGTATTCAAACTGGGCTCAAGTGTTAACTCCTGCCTCAGCCTCCTGAGTAGCTGGGGCTGCAGGCATGCACCACCACACCCAGCATTATAATCTCTTTATTATATTCTCTATTTGGTAAATCATTATCATCATACTCTCCTTAAAAGAATTCTTGAAACATGGTTTCTTTTAGTTCTTTGAACATTTATAATAGCTGCTTTGACATTTTTGTCTGGCAAGACTAACATGTGATCACTCTCAGAAAATGTCTGTTGATGGCTTTTTTCTTGTATATGCATTATACTTTCCTGTTTCTTTGCATGTCTCATGAATTTTTTGTTGAAAAGTGGACATTTTGGATAATATATTGCAGTATCCTCCCTAAGGTGGTTATTGTTGCTATTTTTGGTTTTTTGGAGACTTGCCTGGACTAATTCTATAGAGTCTGTTTCCCTCACTGTGTGTAACCACTGATATCTCTGCTAAGTTTTGTTTCTTTGTTTGATTTATTCTTGTTTTAATTTTAAGCATGGATCAGCATAGCTTAGTGGTTAGCCAACAATTGTTAAAAGGTATACATAAACACCTTGAGCCACTAGGTGTCCACTCTATGCCTATGGGTCAGTCTGTGGCTTGGGGATGTGTTCAAAGTTCAGTCTGTAAGCCTGCCCCAGCTTTTACTTTCCACGTTGACTAGTCTTCCCATTCATCCAGGGACAGATCACTTATTGGGGTCTTCATTGGTTTGTCCTGAGCATGCACACAGCTTTCGTACATGCCCACAGCCCTATACCATGAACTATAGATTGGATCTTATCCAGATGCACTTTGGATGTCTTTCTTATTCCTTGGATCTCCCTTTTAAATTGTTGACTGGCCTTCTGATCTTTTGCTTTCCCTGACCAGTATTGACACCTCAGGCTGGCTGCCATGTTGGCCTTACCTGATTGTTTGCCACTCAGATTACTATTGTTTTTTAACGATGACCCTGAGCATGAAATTATCTACACTTTGTTCCAAATATAGCCATCCTTCTCCAGCAGAGCCTGCCAATCTTCATAGCCTACCCTACTCTTGTAGAAATTCTGTAGCACGGAGCTGTGGGGATGGATGCGAGCAGTCACACAGACTCATGCTATTCTTACTAAGATTCAGTAGATCTTCTTGAGTAAATGCTTCTCAATTTGTCCTACACCTTTGATCAGTTTGGCCTGTGCCTATCATAGAAGTTTATCACCTCCTTATATACCACCTATATCCTTTTGTCCCTCCTAAAGTCTGGAGTTTGGGGTTTTTTTGTTTTTTTGTGTGTTTTTTTCCCCGTCCAGCTGTTAAAAGAAGCATCAACACTTGAAAACAAAGAAAAGGATTCCTCTAAATGAGTTAATGCTTGAAATATAGGTTTAAGCTAGGCACAGTGGTGCATACCTATAGTCCCAGCTACTCAGGAGATTAAGGCAGGAGGATTGCTTGAGGCCCGGAGTTCAAGGCTACAGTGTGCTGTCATCACATCTATGAGTAGCCACTGCATCCACTGCATCCCAGCCCAGGCAATGTAGCTAAGACCTTGTCTCTAAAAAAAAGAAAAAGAAAATGAAAGAAAGAAATATAGGTTTATTTTGTTTAAGTCAGGGATTATTTTCACACTCCCAAAAAATCTAATGCAGTGATTAAAATTTGTGACTCAATATTACAGATTCAGCTAGGTGGTACTTTTTGTTACTGCTGTTTTGGATGGTCTGTTTATTTTATGGATGTGTTTTACT